GATTCTTCTTTGTTTCCAACTTTTGCATTCCAGTCACCAGTGATAATTAACACATCCTGATTGCATGTTTGGTCAATTTCAGACTGTAGAAGCTGATAACACACATACTGAGTGTATATATATATGTGTGTGTGTGTGTGTGTGTGTGTGTATGTGTATATATACATAATAAATAATATATATAATAAACAATAGTATATAATAAATAAAACTATATATATAATGCTATTTGAATACAACTAATTCGAAAGTGTTTTATTAAGAATGTTAAAGGTGTTTGATTTAAACTTTATTTTTTAATTATTCAGATGTTAGAAAGCACAATTGATGTCAATGGATTATTTCAAGGTCATTACAGATGATTGTGTTGCATACATTTATTATTTTGGACTTAAATGCATTGGTGAAAATAACATATTTTTATATTAACTGTCAATTTTTAAATAATTGTGGAGAGAGTTATTTGGGATAAGTTTTGAGGAAAGTTACTTTTTTCACTATTTCTTAATGTTCTGCATACATTTCAGTGCACTAATATTATGTTTGCTATGCAAAACATTCAAGGAGTGTATCACAAAAACAATATTAGCTATTAGTTATTACTCTTTTAGTTATTAGTTATTAGTTATTACTCTTAGTGTTTAGTTATTAGTTATTACTCTTTTCAAGAAAAATAGCTTAGTTTTAGGGTAAAAATATATGTATAATAATTACAATAATATCAAATTTGACATTAGTTCTTTGAAAGTTTTAAAAGATAATATGAAATATTACCAACATATATTATAGAAAATATTAATGTCTATATAACATACAAACCAGCTTTAACAATGTGAATATTTTTGTCGTATTTGCTTTAGTTTTTTTAAGGAATAAAACAGATACAAATGACATCCTTTTGTTCCCCTTCCTTATCCCATTTCCCAGAACTTTTCTCTCTCCCAGAAATAAACAACTGTTCTAAATTTGGCATCCATCACTTCCACTAATATTTGCTATTTTTGTTAAACAATGCTTTAGTATCTCATATACTCCTTGAGGGGGGAAAAATTTTTTTGTTCCATCTAATTTAAGCAAACTAATCAGAATTCAAATATACATACATATATATTTGAGTGGTTCATACAAATAGTATAAGGGCAGGATGAAAATATCAACTTTGAGGATGATTCCATATTTACTTTTCTTTTTCCTGTAATGTCTTTATAATGTAATATAATCCATTATAATAATCTCATAGATTTAAAAAAATATTTGTTGAATGAATTATTTAAAAACTGTATGGGTTATTTTCACTTTTATGAGAAGAACTCATGTTTAGAAATAAACTTGTTTACAATGTATTTGGGGATAAGGTAGGTGCATCTCCCATCAACATAAATGTACATAATCAATGGGTGCTTTTTTTCTTCATTTACTCACACATGTTTTAGACTGTGTACGGAAGTTCAAGTGTTGTCAGATAAGCATAGAAGAAGGCAAAGGGAAACTCTGGTGGAACCTGCGAAAAACTTGCTATAAAATAGTGGAGCACAATTGGTTTGAAACCTTCATTGTCTTCATGATTCTGCTCAGCAGTGGGGCACTGGTAGGTGATAAATGACTTCTCTCCTTTACCTTTTACCTGAAATCCTTTACCTTTCCCCTCAATGGACCTCATAGTACTCTTTCGTAAAGTAAGGTGCTTGTGGGAATGAGAGACAATATGTTTGATATGTTTAGCAAAGTGTGAGAGGCTCAATGAGTAACAACATTTATTTCTCTGGAGTAGACCTTGGATCAACTCAAACTCATGTCATTATTATTTTTTATAATATTTAAAGAAGGATATTTCTGACGTTTAGTTAATCCTCAGAGGCAGTTCCTGCTAAGAATGACTATGTAGGCATGATATGGGATTATCAGCTAAAGATCATACCATAGCTCCCTGCTGCTAGGAACTCTTCTGTCTTGTTCACAATGATTTGCTAATGCCAATCATAAACTCACTGCTATTGAGTCGATCTGACTCATAGCAACCCCCTTTGGGTTTCCGAGGCAGTAAATCTTTACAGAAAAGTACATTGCCCGGTCTTCCTTCCATAGAGTAGCTGGTGGGTTTGAACTGCCAACCTTCTGCTTAGCAGTCAAATGCCTTAGGCACTATGCCACTAGAGTTCATTATGCCAATCAGAGCAAATAGCAAATAATAGACTCTACCTAAATTAGTGCTTACTAACTTATTATGGACTAAGAGAAAAGTGAAAGCAATACAAGCTTAATTTATGTCTAATTTAATTCAATTGAATGGTCAGTTCAGTTAAAATACTGATTAATTATAATGCAAATGTAGTGACCCATCTCCCCATTTAGTCATACAAAAGTGTTTGTATTTTGATTGTTTTCAATTAGTCATTTGCACATTGGGGGAGTTAATGTCATTAGGAGAAATCTGAAATAGTATCTGGAGGCTCTAAGCCCACATCTGATTTAACTAAGAAGCCTTCATCCTGCCTTGCACTTATACAAAGTGGGTCAACTCTGCCTTTTAATGCCAAATAGAGAACTAAGTCTCATCAGTGACTAGCATCCTTGCTGTAGTAGCTCTTGGTCTAAGATCTCCAAGCATACCACTATGTTGGCTTCTGAGAGACTTCAAGGTTCAGCTACCAGTGGACCTAAAACAGTCTTTAGGACCTTTTGTTGAGCCCTGGTCACAGATCAGTGGTTAAAGTATTTGGTTGCTTGCTAATGCAAAGGTTGACGGTTGGAACCAACCAGCCACTTTGCTGGAGAAAGATGAGACAGTCTGCTTCCATAAAGATTTACAGCCTTAGAAACCATAGGGAGGCAGTTTTGGTCTGTTCTATAGGGTTACAATGAGTTGGAATCTACTCCATGGCAGTGGACTTGGGTTTTTTTTTTTTTTTGGTTGAGTCACAAGCCCAGATGCCCCTTTTCTCTAGGAGAAAAAGTTTTCCTTTATCCTTAACCCAGGCCACCAGGTACTGCTGATAGTTTCCTGAAAGGGGATTGTGTTACATAAGATCAAGGGCTCCTGTAAATGAGTTCCCCCAGCCTTTCCCCAAGAGTTATGCACAATGATGGCAGAGGGAGCTTCCAGACATGTATACACACAGAGAGATTGAGAGAAGGAGAGAGAGAGAGAGATGGAGGGAAAGAGAGCAAGGAAAGCTAGAGAAATAGGGAGAAAGAAATGATTATCCCTCCTCCAGGCTGAGGGACCTATTAGCCTTACATTTGCATTACTAAGATACATTCCAGTGACTTTGTTGTTATGTGCCGTTGAGTCAAACCCGACTCAAAGCGACCCCTCCTTGGGTTTCCGAGGCAATATCACTACGGAAGTAGGATTGCCCAACCTTCCTTCCGAGGAGTGGCTGGTGGGTTTGAACTGCCAGCCGTCTGGTTAGCAGGCAAGTGTCTTAGCCACTATGCTACCAGAGCTCCCATTCCAGTGACTATACTGAACAAAATAGATTTGCTCCCAGATGACTTTCTGTCTCCTGCTTGGGAGAAAAGTAGGTAGCAGCCTCTCAAAAATATTAAGCTTTTTGGAGAAATCTGATACTAAAGTTTAAAATTTATACAAATCCATTGGTTGACTGAAATAAATGCCCAATCAAAATTCATCTATGTGCAGATAACTATGAAGTGAAATGCAGCGATGGGAAACACTAAGCTTTCCAGCTTCTGATAAGAGGTTTGCACAGTTTGTGTGTGTGTGTGTGTGTGTATTTTGTCCAAATAAGACATTGATTAGGCTGCTTATGGCAAAGAAATTCAATAGACATTTTCACTTACAGGCCTTTGAAGATATATATATTGAACAGCGAAAAACCATAAAGACAATGCTAGAATATGCTGACAAGGTTTTCACTTATATATTCATTCTGGAAATGCTTCTAAAGTGGGTGGCATACGGTTTTCAAATGTATTTTACCAATGCCTGGTGCTGGCTAGACTTCCTCATTGTTGACGTGAGTATTCTGCAGTTCCATGTTTCATTCCACTGGCAGGCAGTGTTAGACAATACGTGTAGCACAATGCCTGGCACATAGTAGGCACTTAACAACTACTGCATGGGCCCAAATATCAGTGATGTTTCCCATTTTCTCAAAGAGAAGATGCCCTTAAATATTATTTTGAAATTTAAATATGTACATTTTCATGAATGAAACAGTCAAATACCATCTTGTTATACTTATAATCTTAGTTTCAAATTAAAATATAAGAACCTAAGTAATGAAAGATAATATATTAATTTAGAAGTTTTGCTTTTTTCCACTTACATATCTCATAAAATAACTATATTATGTTCTTCACAGGAATTTTGGACAGTGTCTTGGTCATCAGCAGTCTGTTGGGAAGAGTCTGTAATGCTGATAGATTATTAATTATAAGGACATTTGAAAGGGCAAAAGTATGAGACATGATAGAAACACATTGGCTATCAATGAATAATTTAAAGGTTTCATTAAACTACATTGGTGTTGAAATACAGCAATATTCCTGTATAAAATAAGAATACTAACAATGACTTTAAGTAATTTTTAAGTTCAATAAACTTGGTCCCCCACCAAGGTAATTTTATTAACTTTATCCAGGTTATTTTCACCTGGAAAATTATAAAACCTCATTTAAAAAATAATTCAGAGGTTTTACAAATTCATATTGTGTGTGCATAATTTAGTTTGAACAAGTTGTTTTAACAAATTTCTATGTGCTTCACTTATTTTTCTTAGAAAACATAATTTTCAAGGAACTAATAACACCAACCTCTTAAAAGCCCTGTTTTCATTCATCTTCTTTTGAAATTCAGGTGAACTTTAGGAGACACTACCTTTTCTTTCTTTACACAGTTTTAATGAGTTTACTATGTACTTCTAAAGGAAATCAAGACATTTTTGTGCCATTTGTAACAGTTTTTCTGTTCCTTTTTTAGTTGAGACTTTTTATTGTTATCAACTGTGTTAGTCATCAGTATGACTAACTTTGTTTTGACAATTTTCTAGTTAATTATACTAATATCTCACCTTTTTTGTTCACTTTTTTATTTGAACTAATTAATGATTTTTTTGCCTTTCACAGGTAGATTTGCAAAAAGACAGTCACTGTTTAGAGGCCCGAATCTCTCTGAATGAGTTTGTATTCAGATTAACCAATGGTTTTCATAGTTTTCTTGTGTGCCATGTTTTAATTTTCCTTTCAATTTTGCTAAATAATATGAGAACTTATAGTTACAAAGATAAGTGTATGACGATTACATTTCTTTGTTATTTTTATTGCTTTACTTATAACTTAAAAAAATATCCTGTAAAGAACTTTAAAAGAGAACAATAGCTTTCTTTTATACTAAGTTTGTGTTCTCAAAGTATGATCCCAGACCACATCTTTGCCTGAACCTGGAAAACTGTTAGGGAAACAAATTCTCAGGCCCCTACCCAGACCTGCAGAAGTAGACCCAACCAGTTATCAGTGTTTCTTAACAAACCCTCCTGGTGATTCTGATGCTCACTAAATTTTGAGAACTACCTTCCTATTGCATAAAGCAAAGTTGAACTGTGTAGACATTTTTGTCTATAAATAACAAAATTGTGTTACTTTTTCTGTATAGGTTTCACTGGTTAGCTTAACAGCAAATGCCTTGGGTTATTCAGAACTTGGTGCCATCAAGTCCCTGAGAACACTAAGGGCTCTGCGGCCATTGAGAGCCTTATCCCGCTTTGAAGGAATGAGGGTAAGTCCAAATGCTTTAGAATTTGTTGGAATTGTAATCAAAACCTTAGTTTCTTAACATATCCAAGGAGAATTTATAAGTGTCATTTGTATTCATACAAATGTACCTACTCTATCAATAATATTTTTCAGATGTCTATAATAGTTGGCACTGTTGGAGAGAGTCATTGAATATAATGTCTGGGTGATTGTTTCTAATTAACTAGATTTTCACTTGGTGGGAAATCTCTCTCATGCTGTGGAGGCTGTGGATCTGAATCAAGATTAGTTATGTTTATTCCATTTATAACTGTAGGAAATCCCACTCAGTTTGGTAATTGAAAACTACCAAACCATTCCACATTGTTTCATCACTGCTCCATATGATGTGATTTTGGCCTTTTGAAGTCTGAACCCAGTCTTTTAGCTTTCACACTCTGCTGAGGTGGCTAAATAGTAGGTCAGCTGTGGAAATCTAGCAAACATTTAGAGAGGTGGCACAAAGGGAGAGGGAGGAATTTGTGCTGACATTTGTCATCCCCTGTGGCACAAAACCTGAAACCACAATGCCCTCACCACCAAGGAAATTATGATGCCCTATATTGGTGGCTTTATATGCTCAAAAAGGAACATTTAGAAATTATGCTTCTTATAGTATTTGAAAATAGTCACAAAGGACTTTCTCTGGATATTGCAAACACAAACCAGAAATGCATGGAGTGTATGCATGATATGTAGGTGTCTGTATGTGTTTGTGTATATATAGTTACATAGAAAGGAATTGTTAACTGATATATTCTTTTCACTTTATTTATTTGAAATAACTTATTTGTAGTAATAAGGGCTCTGGTGGCTTGGTATATAAGGCATTTGACTGCTAACCAGAAGGCTGGCAGTTCAAACCTACCAGCCACTCCTCAGAAGGAAGAATGGGCTATCTACTTCCATAGTGATATTGCCTTGGAAACCCAAGGAGGGGTCGCTATGAGTCAAATTGACTTGGCAGTGTTTGGTTTGGTTTGGTTTATTTGTAGTAGTAGGTTTATTAAACAAAAGGTATCAAACTTTCAGTACTAGAATAATTTTCATATATGATGTAAGGTATTCATGTGTGTGTGTTTACATATATGTATATATGTATTTGTATATACCTTAGTAGGTAAGCCACTTGGGTGCTAACCAGAAGGTCAGAGGTTCAAACTCACTAGCTTCTGTGTGGGAGAAAGATGAGGCAATCTATTTCCATAAAGATTTAAAGCCATGGAAACCCAGTAGGAGTCACCGTGAGTCAGAATTGACTCGATGGCAGTGGGTTATATACTACAAGGGATTTGAGGAAGGTTTATGCATATGTTTCTTACATTTTACATGTCTATTCACTTATAAGGGAGCTCTGGTAGGGTAGTGCCTAAGGCACTTGACTGCTAACCAGAAGGCTGGTGGTTCAAACCCACCAGCCACTCCTCGGAAGCAAGGTTGGGCAATCTACTTCTGTAGTGACACTACCTGGACAGCCTAAGGAGGGGTCACTATGAGTTGGGTCCAACTCATTGGCACATAACAACAACAACATTCATTTATAATGTTTATGTTAGATATGGTTAAGGTATATGTGTACATTTAGCTAACTATTTATTTCATGGATAATTTAAGAATTGTACTGAAAAATGTTCCTTAAAATGCCGTGAAAGCTGCAAACATCAAAGCTACCAGGCAAAACCCATGCCTTCAAATTATAATGGTTTATGAAAATATAGCCAGTCATAGCCAGTATTATGATTGATGTAGTCTCTCATTGTAGAATTTTATTCTGAAAGAGATTTCACAGATTAGGACTTTTAAGAGTCAAAAAAGTTAAATAACTTCCCCAAAGGTGTACAACTAATACATGCCTCTGTATGTAGGTTGACTCTACATGTTTGCCTGGGAGAGTCCTGGATTACACAGCTGAAAACAATTATTATTAGTGTTCCCTTTTACTCTGAAAATTATCCCACAATTGTCCTCTTTCATCTCAATTTTTGGATAGTAAATTAAATAGTTTGTATGATTTTCTAAAAATGTGATGTTTATATGTTGAAGTACTTCTATAATCATATCAACATTTATATCCTTAACTTTTCTTTGTATTTATAAATAGATACATTGTTTGATGACAGTTTGCTATGTGTATATCCTTATTCCTTAAGAAAACGTTACACAAGTATAAAATTAAATTATATTCTTCTAAATAATCATTTTAAAATTATTGGTTGGAGCTATCAGCGTTTAATCTCTACTTAATATTGAACTTAAAGAACATATGCATTTTCTTTCCTTTGATGTTATTCTTTTTAGATTATTTTTAAATAGGCAAAAAATATAAATATTTATTATTGACTCTTCACCTATTTTTCTTTCTCAATTCGTTGCCAGGTGGTTGTAAATGCTCTTTTAGGAGCCATTCCATCCATAATGAATGTACTTCTGGTTTGTCTAATCTTTTGGCTAATCTTCAGTATCATGGGAGTAAATCTCTTTGCTGGTAAATTTTACCATTGCATTAACTATACCACTGGAGAGATGTTTGATGTAAGTGTGGTCAACAACTACAGTGAATGTAAAGCCTTAATAGAGAGTAACCAAACTGCCAGGTGGAAAAATGTGAAAGTAAACTTTGATAACGTGGGACTTGGATATCTTTCTCTGCTTCAAGTGGTAAGTAACCATTTTGTTATTCTCTAGGACACATTATTAAAATAAGTTTAAAATTCTTCTTGCTCAGTATTTGTAAAGATTTACCTTTGTCTGTAGCTGAACTCACCTCACTAGAAAAACTCCAATTTCTGAAGCTCAGTGCAAAAACATTAAATTTACCAAATTGTAGTAACTTAGTATTTCTGGTTTATATTTGGGTCTATTTTTGTTATCTGTTAAGTCTAACCCAGATTCTTCCCTCCTATTCTTCTCTCTAAAATGACTTGTTTCCTTGAATATTGTCCTGGAATCAGAAAGGCATATTTGGCCTTTGAGTGGGTTCTGGCTACCACTGTCATGCAATATGTCTTGCTGGCCTTTGAATTTTATGTAGCGGCATCTTGTGATGTCCAAGGACTATATCCATCATTAAATTCTACATTCTTCTTAACCCAACTGATAGCCTCTTTGGACTTGCCAGACTTCTTCCCTTCTACCCTATCCTCCTTAAGGGGTTCAGTAACTGTTGGTCTTTTTCTTCCCAGCACAAGCTGGGGTTCTTAGACCCTGTGAGACATTCCTCAGGCACATCTGCCTAGATCCTTCTTCAACCATTGGCAAACTATCTTTCCAAAGCCTGAGAAAATGGGACTAAAATTGGAACTGTTCTGCAAGGTTTATGGTCTCCCGCAGGTAACGAATCACAAGACTGCTGTTACTGGGATTTCTATCACTCTTCCCCTTGTTTCCCCACCCCATCTCTATTCTGAGTAAAATACAGACAGTAACCCCTAGTGGGGTTATGGGAAGAAAGAGTGGTATCTAAAGTATATTTACCCCCCTAACCTTCACCACCACCATTACAAAAACCTCCACGCCGTCACTCTTCCCTTTACTCCCACACTAATTTTAATTTTCCTACCTGCTGGTTGAACCCTTTCAGATAGAAAGATTGTTCTTTTGCAAATGAAAACTTTGCTATCAAGGCTATTATGTCTGTTGTAACTTCATAAAAATTCATTTGGCTCTTCAACTGGCCACATTGGTAAGCCATATCCATGAACTTCTTTTGGGAATCCATGCAGACAATTTCGAACAATATTTGAACACTGAAAGAAAGGCAGAGACTATGGTGCTAAGAAACTGAAAAAAAAAAATGTATGTATATGCATAGATGTTGTTGCTGTTGTTAGGTGCCGTCGAGTTGTCTCCAACTCATAGCGACCTTCTGTACGACAGAATGAAACACTGCCCAATCCTGTGCCAGCCTCATGATCCCTGCTATACCTGAGCCCATTGTTGCAGCCACTGTGTCAATCCATCTTGTTGAGGGCCTTCCCCTTTTTCGTTTACCCTCCACTTTACCAAGCATGATATCCTTCTCCAGAGACTGGTCCCCTCTGATAACATGACCAAAGTAGGTGAGACAAAGTCTACCATTCTCACTTCCAAGGAGCATTTGGCTGCACTTCTTCCAGGACAGATTTGTTAGTTCTTTCAGCAGTCCACAGTACTTTCAGCATTCTTCACCAACACCACAACTCAACACCAACAACTCTTCTTCAGTCTTCCTTATTCATTGTCCAGCTTTCACAAGCATATGTGGTTATTGACAATACCATGGCTTGGGTTGGGTGCACTTTAGTCTTCCAGGAGACATTTTTGCTCTTCGTCACTTGAAAGAGGTCTTTTGCAGCAGATTTGCTCAGTGCAATACTTCATCTGATGTCTTGGCTGCTGCTTTCATTGACGTTGATTGTAGAGCAAAGTAATATGAAGTCTTGGACAACTTCAATCTTTTCTCCATTTATTGTGATGCTGTTTATTGGTATAGTTGTGAGGATTTTGTTTTCTTTATATTGAGATGTAATCCATACTGCAAACTGTAGGCTACAATCTTCTTCACTAAGTGCTCCAAGTCATCCTCACTTTCAGCAAGAAAAGTTGTGTCATCTGCATATTGCAGATTGTCATTGAATCTTCCTCCAATCCTGATGCCACGTTCTTCTTCATATAGTCCAGCTTCCTGGATTATTTGTTCAGCATACAGATGTACACATATGGTGAAAGGATACAACCCTGATGCACTTCCTTCCTTATTTTAAACCATGCAGTGTCCCCTTGTACTGTTTGAATGACAACCTTCTGGTCTATGTACACGTTCATCATGAGCATTATTATGTTCTGGAATTCCCATTCTTCTCAATGTTATCCATAATTTATTATTATCCACACAATCAAATTGTTGCACAGTCAACAAAACACAAGTAGACATCTTCCTGGTATTCTTTGCTTTGAGCCAATATCCATCTGACATCAGCAATGATATCCTTTATTCCACATCCTCTTCTGAATCCAGCTTGCATTTCTGGAAGTTCTCGGTCAATATACTGCTGCAAGCATTTTTAAATTATCTTCAGTAAGATTTTACCTGTGTGAAATATTAATGATTATTTGATAACTTCCACATTCTGTGGGATTACCTTTCTTTGGAGTGGGTACAAATATGGATCTTTTCCAGTCAGGTGGCCATGTGACTGTCTTCCAAATCTCTTGGCATAGGTGAGTGAGTGCTTCCAACACGTCATCTGTTTTTTGAAACGTATCAGTGGGTGTACCATCAATTCCTGGAGCCTTGTTTTTCTCCAATTCCTTCAGTGCAGCTTCAACTTCTTCCTTCAATACCATTGGTTCTTGATCATATGCTACCTCCTGGAGTGGATGAACACAACCAATTCTTTTTGGTACAGTGACTCTGTACTCCAGATTGTATATTCCATCTGTCTTCTTTTGATGTTTCCTGCATCATCAACATTTTGCCCATAGAATCTTGCAATATCGCAACTCGAAGCTTGAATTTTTTTTTTTTTTTTTCAGTTCTTTCCACTTGAGAAATGCCAAGTGTTTTCTTCCCTTCTGGTTTTCTAACTCCAGGTCTTTGCACATTTCATTATAATAACTGACTTTGTCTTCTCAAGCTGCTCTTTGAAATCTTCTGTTCAGCTCTTTTATCTTGTCATTTCTTCCATTTGTTTTAGCTGCTCTCCATTCAAGGAGCTCTGGTGGTGTAGTGCCTAAGGCATCTGACTGCTAACCAGAAGGCTGGCAGTTCAAATCCACCAGCAACTCCTCAGAAGGAAGATTGGGCTATCTACTACCATAGTGATACTGCCTCGGAAACCCAAGGAGGGGTCGCTATGAGTTGCATCCAACTCCACAGCAGTGAGTTTGTTTTTTTTGGTTTTTCTCTCCATTCAAAGGCAAGTTTCAGAGTCTATTCTGACATCCATTTTGGTCTTTTCTTCCTTTCCTGTCTTTTTCATGAACTTTTGCTTTCTTCATGATATTCTTGATGTCATCTCACAATTTTTGGTCATTGGTGTTCAATGCATCAAATCTATTCCTTAGATGGTCTCTAAATTCAGGAGGGATATAATCAAGGTCACATTTTGGCTTTTACGGACTTGTTTTAATTGCCTTCACCTTCAGCTTGAACTTGCACACGTGCAGTTGATGGTCTGTTTCACAATCAGTACTACTCTTCCCACAGAAGTGAAAACAAATGTTTAAAAATGTTAAATTGCAGTTGAATATGATGTTTGTTTTCGGGTAAGGAAACTGCTTCTTCATGGAGTATAATTGCCTCAAAACAGCCTGATCAATAATGGTTTCAAGAACAAACCATTATCATTGGTGATTAGTGATAGCACTATTTATTTTCAGTCCTTTAGAGTAGAATAAATAAGTAGTGCATAGCATTAAGATCAAACTGTGCAGTATGATTTTCAACTTGTTTCATGTTGATACTGCATACATGAAATTAATTAAATTCCATATTATATTATAAGTACATAAGAGTCAATGTTATTGATAAGTGCTTTTATGGTTGCATATTTTTATAATAAATTGTGATTAAAGATAATTAAAAATATTATAGAGGACTACAAAATTGAAATCTTTTCAAAGGACTACAAAGTTTTGCATTATAAAACTACACAAAGGGTTTAAATATTAACCCCAAACTTTATACTTTATATATATATATACTTGTATTGAATAAATGTTGGTGACTTGACCTGGTACTTAATTTCTTTTCTAAAATTATAATTTTTTTGGAAAATAAACAATGTGACTTTTTTACAGGCCACATTTAAGGGATGGATGGATATCATGTATGCAGCTGTTGACTCAAGAAATGTAAGTTTATTAGGAGGGAAAAGTGTTTAAATTTATCCTGTAAGTGTTTCCAAACTGTTGTAATTAAATGATATTGTCAGTAAAATAAAACTATGGACACTTACAGAGTACATCTGCATTACAAAAATTAAAATATTTAATCTTACATTATTTCTTTCAAAATTTGATTAGAATGTCCTTTCCTTCCTCATTGTGAATCTTCTAACTTTTCTAGCATCTAGCACGGTATCTGGCACTTAAAATATTCACTGATTATTTACCAAATGAGACATTTTAGTTTTGACTTTGATTGTTCCAGGAATTTGTACATTAGATGTCCTTGCAGGCAATGCTCTTCATCTATACAGATTTCCTTCAACTTTTGATATTTGTGATATAGTAGGAAAGTGCTGATTAAAGGTAGGGGTGGGGAAAATAAGCTCAAAACAAACAAAAATCTTAATATAGTGTCTCTTGGAGGTAATCAAGTGGCAGAGTGAAGGAACTCTCAATATCTACCTGATACACATCAGTACTTTGGAATTTTTTTCTATAGCTTCCATTAATATTTCAGTGTTTCACAATGAAGGAGGAAATCACGTTTTGGAAATAAAATTTTTATTTCTCCTATATTACCAGAGAAGAGGTATTGAACTCAAAAAGTTATTTTCCCAGTGCCAAAGACTAGCTTTGTAAACAAAGAATTATTGGGTTATTTCTTTTCTACCCTATGAAAAACAGAGCTAAAAGCTCTATATTATATCTCTGCAAGTGCTGTCAAGAATCCCACTTGTGTGCTTTTCATTATTATTTACTATTACCTCTCACTCTTCTAAAGGATATTATACATCGTCTCATGCATTCCTACATAACAACTTTATCACAGAAGTGATATTAACTCCACTTTACTGGTGACGCAATGAGGCTTAATGTTAAGTGCTATAAGTTTTTAAACTCTTACTGCATAGACTAGAGTCATAATCCCTTTCAATAGTAGTTTCTTAGCTATTTAATTAATTGATATAAAGTTCTATCCGCCTTCCTGATGAACAGCCTAACTGGTTCTTTATGACATGCAACTTACTCTTAGTTTCTTCCTGAATAACTTCACTGACTCTACCTGCTATGTAACTTCTCAACATTTAAGCACTTTACAAAAGATCCAGTTGACCACTAAAATTATGAAAAGCTGTTCATTCTTATTCTCATTAGTCATGAGAGAAATGAAAATTTAAAACAAAATGAGACCAGTGGTGTTACTAGGGCGGTATGCACTGTACCAAGTGGCATTGTCAGAGGGGTTCACACTAACATTACTATGTACAAAATTTTTGTTCAGTGTATCAGCAGAAATTTATTGTTTTTAATAAAGATATCCCTGTAGATGGTTATAACAACAAAAACATTTTTTGTTTTCCCAGCTTACATGTATCAATATACCTACAAGGCTAAAACTATGATCACTTACTTTTTTAATTTTCTCATGTGCTCAATTAGAATTGTCATTATTACTCAAATACAATGATGCTTTGAATCACGTGGTCTCATCTGCATACCGACATGTATGTGCCATTGTTTTCATTGCTGCCGGTGTTGTTATAGTCACAGATTTTGTCAAATTTTTTGGTGTTTTAGCTACAATATTGTGGTAATGAGTATTTGTGAACCTATAGCAATAGTTGTTTTGAGAATGAAATAGTAATTAAAGGAAAAGGAGAAAAATGAAAAAGCTTTCTGCTCAGTTACTGGTAATATTGTAACTAATGTGGTTCAAGAATCATTAACAACCTGAGATATGCAGATGATACAACTTTGCTTGCTGAAAGTGAGGATGACTTAAGGCACCTACTGATGAAGGTTGAAGAATACAGTCTGCAGTATGGATTACATCTCAACATAAAGAAAACAAAAATCCTCACAACTGGACCAATGAGCAGCATCACAATAAATGGAGAGAAGATTGAGGTTGTCAAGGAATTCACGTTGCTTGGTTCTACAATCGATGCCAACGGAAGCAGCAGTCAGGACATTAGACGACGAGTAGCATTGGGAAAGTCAACTACGAAGGAACTGTTTCAAGTGCTGAGGAGCAAGGATATCTCATTGAGGACTAAGGTGCGCCTGACACAAGCCATGATATTTCCAATCGCTTGGTATGCATGTGAGAGCTGAACAATGAATAAGGAAGACCAAAGAAGAGTTGATGCTTTTGAGTTGTGGTGCTGGTGGAGAATGCTGAAAGTACCATGGACTGCTAAAAGAATTAGCAGATCTGTTTTGGAGGAAGTGCAGCCAGAATGCTCCTTGGAAGCAAGAGTGGCCAGACTTCGTCTCACGCACTTTGGTCCTGTTGCAGCAGGAACCATTCCCTGGAGAAGGATGTCATGCTTGGTAGGGTGGAGGGTCGACAAAGGAGGGGGAGGCCTTCAACGAGATGGATTGATACGGTGGCTGCGATGATGGGATCAAGTATAGCAGGGATTGTGGGGCTGGCGCGGGATCGGGCAGTGTTTCGTTCTGCTGTGCATGGGGTCGCTATGAGTCGGAAACGACTCGACGGCACTTAACAACATCAACAACAATGTGGTTCAATGTAAAAAAAATTACAATTTTGTTGTTAGTATTCTTGTACTCTAAGAAATATTACATTTAAGTAATTTTTAACTATATCATATATTCTATGATTAAAATTGATAATGGACATTACTAAGGATTCTGCACAGTCTTGTACAGATGAGGTCCATGAGGGCGAGTATGACACCATGAGTTACTGCACTGGATGAACCAACCCTGGTAACACCACTGAATGTGCTATCACATACACACCTATCAGATTTTCAATATTAAAAGTCTGATAATATCAAGTCTTGTCAAGGGTAAAGAGCAAGAAGAATTCTCATACAATGCTGGTAGGGAAAAATATAGGTAATATTCCCATTTTTTGTTCCATTATTTAATTATTTAATAAAGCTTAAGATAGTATTTAATCCTTCAAGTCCATGCTTAGCAATACAACCTACAAAAACTTTTGTACATACACAGTAGGATCTATGTACAGGAATGCATATTTTTTTTCCACTATCCAAAATCTGGAAAAACTCAAAACTAGTAGAAATGGACAAACAATGGGATATTATACAACAATGAAAATGAAAGAATACAGCTATATACAACAACATGGATGAATCTTATAAATAGAGTGTTGAGTTAAACAAACTAAGCACATTCTGTATTGTTGTTGTTGTTGTTATGTGCCGTCGAGTCAAACCTGACTCATAGCGACCCCTCCTTGGGTTTCCGAGGCAGTATCACTATGGCAGTAGGATTGCCCAACCTTTCTTCCAAGGAGTGGCTGGTGGGTTTGAACTGCCAGCCGTCTGGTTAGCAAGCGTCGTAGCCACTATGCTACCAGAGCTTCTACATTCTGTATAATGTGGTATAAAATTTTTGGTACAAAATTCAAAACCAGACAAAACAAACCTTGTTGTTAAGGAGTAAATATTTAGGTGTAATATAAAGGAAAATAAGGAAATAATTACCATAAAAGTCAGGAGAGTCTTTGTCTCTAGCAGGCATGATAGAGGTTATCATTGAGAAGAATTACAACAAGAATTACAACAATTATTACAAAATGTAATAACAACTTATTACATTTTGTATTTATATTCTAAGCACTTTTCTATAGTTGTATTATATTTGATTAAAAAAAGGTTTAAAGTATTATTTTATATCATTGTCCACTACAGATACTCATATATACATAAATTAAAATCTTGTATAAGAATAGGAGCTCTGGTAGCATAGTGCCTAAGGCACTTGACTGCTAACCAGAAGGCTGGTGGTTCAAACCCACCAGTCACTCCTTGGAAGGAAGATGGGGCAATCTACATCCATAGTGATACTGCCTCAGAAACCCAAGGAAGGGTCGCTATGAGTCAGGTCTGACTCGATGGCACATAACAACAACAACAACGTATAACAATAGATACATTTGCAATGTATCTGACAATTTCTATTCTACTCTATTTCATTAGAAAAAAATAGCATGTTGATAATGACCCTCTATATTGATTTCATGACACAATGGGTCAGCATCTCACCTACTAGCATCTGTGGTTGGTTGACTTAAATGGTTAGAAAAATTTCCTGTGAGACCTGAATCATAGATTATAGCAATGCTCAAACCAACTATCACATCATTTTCTAATCAAAAGTGATCTGGGAAGGAGGGGAAGTGGCAGACTAGGCAGAAGGACTGCACAGACCCTCTTCAACAAAGAAAAGGGAAACCAATTAACACAGACACAGAAGATAATCTTGG